CGTTATCGTGTTGTTGAGCTTATTCTCTAAAACAAAATTTGTTTCCTGGAAAACTCTAACTCACTCGAAAACCTTTTCTCAAACCTTTAGAGATATGCGAGAAAGTTTCTCAAAATACCTTCTTGGTTTCCAAAAATACCGAGTTCAACATCCAGAAAGTAGTTTAGCATATCTTTTTCTTTCTATCGGAAATCTATTTTAGTTGTTAGATACTGTTAAGGTATTATAGAAAACTAATATTGTCATAAAAACTGAGTTGATGTCTGAAGGAGCTTCCAGAAATATCTTATTGATGATCGGATGGCTTCTAAAAGCCCTAAGTCTGAAAAATTATAATGGGAAATCAAAATCTGTTTTCCGAGTTTTTATTTGACACTCTAAAGAGATGCTGAAGTTTTGAAAAATTTTCAGATTGTTCGACGGAGTAATCATGATCAGTTCAAAACCTTCTCTGAGGGGCATATTTGGTGCCTGAATTTTCTTTTTTGATCTGCTTCTTTGCTCAGTTTTAGAGGTTATTAATTAGATGAAAACTGCTTATATGTGTCATCTAACTGCTTTAATTAATGAGCATTCTTTTTTTCAAAATCTGAAATGATTTCGTACTTTCGAGATAATCTAATGTTATGTTGGTACCCCTACGCTTCGTCCCCTACTTTTCGTCCTCTTACTATTCGTCCCAGTTATATTTCGTTCCAATTACATTTCGTCCGCTTACTCTTCGTCCCAATTTCATTGCGTTGCATATTGTAACTATTCATTTACATTACAGCAATATTAAATAGAGTTTATTAAAATAAATCCAAGTGCTTATTTTCAAGTTTATAGCAGTTCGAGTTAAATATTCCTCGATATTGTTGACATTATAAGACAGCGCGATTCTTTTCAATCGTGCATCAGGATTTGCATAAACTTTCCTTTTTTTCTTTGGTTGTTCACCTGCACGAAGTCTTTCAATATCAATCTCAAATCTAGATTGTTCATGTAATATACATTTTGCAAGTTTAGTTATAGAAGGATGTTTAATTGAAACATGACTATCGAATGCATGACATCATCCGTCGACAGCGTTATTAGATCTTGGTAAGTCTTGTATACCTCGTTCATAAATTTTCCATAATTGTAAACTAAATTTTGGTTCACTGTGTCGACTACCTAAGTTAGCGTTATACACTATTAAATAGATCAAACACATAAGCCTAAAATGATACACACCTCTTCCATTCTTTTGACCAACCCAAACTCGTTCGAAATAATCAACTAAAGAACAATCTTCATCGTCAAAATCATTAATCATAGATGGATAAGCTTTAAGATCATCAGGAACAGGCACGAATGCAAGAGTCATAACTTTTTTCATGTTCATTCTAAATTTATTATCATCGGTATACTTGTTTTGAAGACCTAGTAACTGCACCTCTTGCCACAAACATTGTCCGAAGTGAAATAAGCAACCTATATTTATAGCGAAAGTAATTTTTCACTGACACAAAATTTTGCATAAAAAGTTACCTATTTGAATAGCATCTGGAAAAAATGTTCTAGTCGATTTAAGTGTAGCACCTTCAAAATCAACTAAAACAGATTCAGGTTCATAATCATACTTTAATAACAGTTATTGAAAAAAATTATTATAATCATTTGTATCTTTTCCAATAAGTAAAACATATACAAGTGGAATACTTTGAAATGAATGCATGCCATGAACAGTAAATAATTGATAATAACTTTTTGTGACATATCTAAATAAGGCAATTTTATGAAAAGAAGGCAAGAAAAAGGAATATATACACTAAATGCCCGTCCATAAACCAATACTTACATTGATTTAAAACTGATAGATTTTTATCACATTTAAATATAACAATACAATCATCTTCATATAAGATGACGCTTTCACCATGATCAGTTTGACGTCATATAAGAGGTAAACGACCTTGATGATCAAGTTGCATAGCTGGTCGCTCACGACGAATTATTTGCAACAATGCATCATTTGTTGGTAAACCAGCTGTTGCTGTTAATGAAGTTGTACGTAAATACATCAAATGATATTCGTACTGGCTCCTTCATCTGATGATGCACCACAAAGTTTAATTTCATTTTTAAGTCGAATGACGTGAAGTCAATCTGGATCAAGTCCATGTGAATGGTAGGATGGCTCTTTAATTAATATTTGCATTTGAGCATTTGTTTGACAACGACCAAAAAATATAATATCAGGCACATTAGAGACTAGATTTCACGATTTTTACTTACTTATACAGTCTCGATCTTCACAACGAAATATACTTTTTTCTTCTGTTATTCGATGTTGAGTATATAAAAATCCAGAAAAATAAATCATTGGATTTTCTCGAGAAGTCTTTAACACTTCAACTGTATTCATTTTTTAGACTACTATGTAAATAGATTCGAGACGACAATAACTATGATTGAAGGTGATTAAATGACGAACAAAAAATTACTCTCGATAAATGTCCAGAACCGAGAAAGAACATCTATGCATTCTCCATTGGTCTTTTTAGGTCGTAATGATTCACTAGACATAATAATAAGATTAAGATAAAACGAAAGTTATTTTTGAATAACTTTGACTATAGAGATTCATCTTACAATAGAAAGTCTCCAACTGGTAGTGAAGAAGATTGACCATATTCGGGTCAAATGAAAGTTCTCACTGCCAAACTAACAAATTTTAAACATTAGTCCCCATAGCGTACCAAGAGCAAGTTACTTAAATTTCAATGTAGGTGAAATTTAGGCATAAAAATGAATCAGGAAATTTAAGTAACTTGCTCTAGGTACACTATGAGGACGTAATATTTTAAATTTGTTAGTTTGGCAGTGAGAGCTTTCATTTGACCCAAACATGGTCAATCTCCTTCACTACCAGTTGGCGACCTTCCATTGTTAGTACAATTATGAAATGAAATGTATATGGGACGAAATAAATTTGGGACAAATTGTAAGCGGACGAATAGTAAGAGGCCAAATTGTAATTGGGACGAATTCTGTGAAATGAATAGTACGGGACGAAATGTTGCGTACTGAAGTGAGTGATCACTAGCGATTTGACCTTAATATCTCTGCTCTAGTTCAACCTATTGAGCTACAGTTTCCAGGAAAACGTTGCTCAGTGTTGCCAATTACAACGCTGAAAGTTTCAATCCGATCAAACACGTTTTGATGTTGCAACGATAAATATACTAAAATTGTAGAGTTTTAATTTAGCTCAAAATTGTTCATACAGCTAATTTTTCATCAAAAGAAAGACTTCATCTGTAGTAAAAAATAAGACATTTAATTAGTTACAAATACAAACGAGGGTGTGGATGCGGGTGCAAATCTTTATTTCAACTCCACCCGTACCCACACCTACCCTTTATGGTACAATGAGAATCCTTGACATTTCTGTTCCAGATCCTTATCAGATTCAATAAAGATTCTGCCAGGATTTCCTCTTTTTTCTCAAGAACCGATGAAACCTTGAAGAAAGTGTGTAGCCACGGAACTTCAGGATCCTGAGAGATTTACGATTACTTTTACATCAGGGTTCTTTCGGGATTTCGGTGGTTCCTAATTAAAAAAACAATTCTGTCTACATTGTACAGAATTTTGCAGGTTTACTCAAGGATGTTATCAGATTATTTTGGGAGGATTTTTGTATGGTTTTACTAGGTTTTGCTGAGAATATTATGATATTTCTTGACGAAATCTCTTCCAGATTTTCTATACAGAACACAAAAGAAATGAATACATACAGTATTGAACTCTAGATCTTCAGTATATGAGCCGATCATGTTACCTGGTTGGATTGTGCCATGTTCTCGTATGTAACTTTAACGTTCGATATCTTAAATTCTGACTTCAATTTACACTTCTATTTGAGTTCTACGTCAGCATAAGTTACCTCCTCAATTTTAAAAATGCAATACCGTTTTTCATTCTTTTTATCAATTGATTAAATTCTACGACTTTTTAGTTGATCTCGATACGACTTAATATATTTTTATTTGTTTTTCATGAATAAATGAAACCATAAACGAATTTAACCGAAGAATATACTAAATACCAAAAATAGCCATTTAATGAATACATATAACAGCAATAAAATCGATATTAATGCCCTAATCTCATAATTTTTCAACTTTTCAACATGAAAATAAAAACAATTATTTTTTGTCGAAGGAATCTTAGATTAATTTCACAAAGAATTTAGAGAAGTGTCAGAATAAAAATTTGTAGACTTTTTTCAGAATCTTTGTATTTGTTTATACCGATCCTCAAATTGCCATCAAAAACAGAATTCCAAGATCCTAACAAGATTTGAAACAGGATTTAATCAGGATCCCGAACGATTTACCACTTTTTTTCGAAGCAGGAACCATTTAGGAAACTGTGAAATCTGGAAGAAAGTGTGTAGCCGCGGTATTTCAGAATCCTGACAGGATTTGAAACAGAATTCAATCAAGATTCTGAACGGTTTATCGTTGCTTTTCAAAACAGGAATTGTTGAGGGAACTGGGAAGTCCTGAAAGCAATGTGTAGCCAGTCAATGCTCATGATTTTGATATGATGGATGTGCAAATGGGTATAAATGAAGGCTCATCTTATTTTAGCCAATAACCACAGCCATAGCTGCATCCTCCTGTTTTCTTTTGTTAACATCCTCCTCTACTTTAGCTATAATAGTATACTGAATCCTTGCATCAGGATCCAGATCAGATCTTGACTAAAACTTCAAAAACTCTTGGGAGAATCCTTTCTATTATTTCTGTAAGAATCCTAAGTAGGATCGAGAGTAAATCCTGATAGGATTTAATCCATTCATAATTTTAAAAAAATCTGAACAGGTAGCTGAAGAAATCTTAGATACGATCTTGACAAGTTCTTTCAGAATTTCTCGAGGAAAGAACAGGATTAAGACTAGGGGTGCATCATTAAGATTTTATCTACACTATTGCAGTAGTATTCTTTAGCTCGTATCGTTCATTACATAATGGTATGGAAAAATTTGAATGCCCTAAAAATTGAAACTAGCTGTAACATCTGCGCTTCCATTTAGAAATCTTGAAAGTTCAAAGAATATTTTTGAACATGAAATAGAGTGTTTTGTAGAGGACTCTTCAGACTTCAAAATTTCTATGGAACGTTTTTCCTGAACATCTTCGTTTTTTTTTTGAGCAAAACTGTGCTTATTCGTTATTAGCTACGCGGTTAATTCGTTAACTACATAAGGCAGCACGAATATCGAAACGAAAAATTCTTTTGTAACTGAATGAGAAACTCAAAAAGCAATTCTGAATGGTGCAAACGCTTCTTGCGAATCGTGACACCATAAAAAAACTAAAAATCTCGTTCTTGGACAAAAGTAGATCTCTGAAAAGCCAGTTTTACGAAAAAGAATTTTTCGAAGTCTGATCTTGTTGAAAGTCTCACCACAGATATAGTTCATTATGTGTAATTGACTCTAAAGTTCCAGAACTTTTTCGTCAAAAAGTTACCGACGTGTTTGCTGATGATGTTTTGATTAATTAACTAGTTAGCTAATTAAGCGTAATTAGATGTGAACTGAGGGATCCAATAGTTTTACATATCGTCTTGTGAAAAGAACTTGTCTTAAAAAATAAACCTTCTAAACAGTGGATGTCACGTCGAAGAAGGTCATGTCCTGTTTTCACTGATTTTGCGTATATGGTACTATCATAGAACATGTAGTGGTTAGACCAGCTTCTTATAGCTGAAATAAGTGCTCTGGTGTATCTTTACATGTTACTAAATATTTGGTTTGTGAGTTAAGTATATCTGTATATATAGAACAATGATATTTCATAGATCTGAGTTGCCTAAAATATAGTTTAATTTAACTCTTGGTTATTTCCATCTGGTTATCACCTTATAACAAATGTCTTATGAGTTTAATTTCGATCACTAAGAGTGTATATCAAAGGAAAGCGATGCATAAGACCACAAATCGATGCACCACTTAGATTATTGAAGTTTGTGTATGATTCCATGCAGAATTTCATTCTGAGCCATTTGCTAGTAATCTCATGTCGATTTCACCATGTCTAGATTAATAAAAGCTGAAAATACTAACCTTAG